ACCTCAGGCCACCCCCGCTGCCCCCCGGGCCCCGCCTCCCGATCCCACGGGGCGGGTCTCCCCTTTTGTTCCCACTTGGGGCGTGGAGGCCCTCTTGGTGGCCACAGATGCCCCGTTTGGCTGCCCGGGCACACCCCTCCATCCCAGGGGTTGGGGCCTGGGAAAGCCGGGTGGGGATCCCTCGGGGTAGCGCCTCGGGTCTCGGCCTCGCTGGGGGAGGGGTGCAGACGGGGCGGGCCTTTGGAAATGCGGACGAGTCGCCTCCCGCCGCTCCTCGCCGGGGCTGAACCTTTCGTGGCTCACAACCCCCCAACACACACCCACACCCCAATCAATTCCAGCACGAGGGCCGCCTAGGCAGCTGTGAAGGGGGGGGTGGCATTGCCGGGGTGTCTAGGACACCGACAGGTTTGCATTTGGACGGTCCATTCTCTGACCCTCGAGCTGGGGGCTGCCCTGACAGGCCGTCCACATTCTTTCCCCAGGTTTTTGGCTGGACAAGGGGCAACAACCGGTTACCCGCCGGGCGGACAACCCTTCCTTCCCTTGGACAACAGGAGCAGGCCTAGTTTGACAACCCTCCCGTCAAAGGTACGTGACAGCCCTGTGCCTGGCCTCGAGGGCGACTGGGGAGCTCTGGCCTGCGGCCCAGGGGTGGGCGGGTCGTCCCCGACCTGCTGGGCTGGTTCTGCAGCCCCTCCCCCACACAGATGTGGCGGCTGTGTGTGAAATGGGCGGCCTGCTGGGTCCCTTCGACCCCGCCTGTCAGCTTCTGTCGTCAGGCATTTGGGGCAGGCGATTCTCCGCTCGATTTTAGCTGCTTACTAGTCGCCAGGCTCACAAGTGTTTCCCAGTTGTGCGTGTTGGTGGTGGAGGACTGGCTTTGAGTGCCTCCTTCTGCAAGGCACAGGCTGCTGCTGCTGCTTGGAAGCCGGGTACCTCAGCCCTCCCTCCGGCCTCCAGTGGGGGAGTTTAGGGTGACTGTAGAGCAGCTACCCTGTGTCCGGCTGCTAGAGAGAGAATGAACACAAGAACTCGAGGCCTGGGCCGGCTTTCCTGGAGGAGGAGGTTTCCTTGACTGCCCCCCGCCCCGGGATTCCCAGTTTCCTCCTGCTTCCCCACATGAGCAGGCGCATGTGGCCTGGTTTCGAGAGTCGGACAAGTCAGCCTGTGAAACCAGTTGTGACCTTGCTTGAACTGCCCGGTCTCCTGAGCTCTGGCTTCCCCATCTACAAAATGGAGCTGGAGCGGCTATTCCGACCCGAGCCGGCATCAGAATCTGCCTCTTTACAAACGGTCCCTGCCGCCGAGTTCTGGATTCAGCAGGTTGGAACCTGAGAACTTGGGTTTCTAACAAGGTCCCCAGTGTTTTGAGCTCCTCTGGGGAGGGTGGTAGGCGCTGGGCACGTAGCAGTGGCTTCCTGCGCAGTGTGGCTCTTGTTCTGACACAAGCCGACCTCGCGTCCAGGAAGCTCCGCAGCTGGAGACGGTGTGGCCCTTGATCTCTGCCCCTGTCCCCAAATGAGCCCTGGTTTGCGATTACTTTGCAAGCCATCTGGGTCCAGGTGGCGCCGATCTCGCTGCTGCCCTGCCCCCTCGCCCCCCACGCCAGCGTGAGCGCCGAGCCGTGGCCTGGGGTAGCCCGGCAGGCTTTGCTGGAGGCACCTGAGTCAGGCTGCCGTAGGTTGGAATGTGGACGATGCCGGTGACCTTGGGCGGGTGTCTCCGCGGGAGTGACGGTGCCGAGGCTGGCTGGAGGGTGGCGGGAGGATTAGGTGCGATTACGGGCCGGCCTCGAAACGCCAGCACCCGTGGGCCTCCTTTGTGAGCCCGGGGCGCTGGGAGTGGCTGCGGGTGGGGGCAGGGCCGTCTCGGACCCCAGGCCAC